ACTGTATAATACAGTCCAACTTATTTAGCGTACACTCACTGTAGGCATACATGTGTTCATTATAAGCGAGGTTCATTATGAAATGCGAGTAATTAATCAAATATATGCTCATTTTACATATGTTTACACGTGAAAAGTGAATGCATTTGACTAATGAATACATTATATGCCACATATGAGTGAGTAATGCAAACATGTGTTTGTGTTTAAAAACTTAAGTCAAACCGTGTGTGCGTTAAATGTATCATCAGATTAGGAGTTATTGTGAAAAACGCTTTCATTCACAACAACAGCACTGAACTTATCAAACAAAGCATAAAACTTCATTCAAAAGTCGTACCATGCTCATATATTATAAAAACAGTGCTTTAATGAGCCAATTGCGGGGGTAGTCACACATAGAAACAGATAATGAAATGCATGAACCAAATGGTGTTCATTAAAACCGGACGCGACTGTAATCGATAGAAAACTATTCAAACTATTTCACAGATAGTGTGTATGCGTTAGACTGCATTTGGCTATTCTTATAACAGTGCATACGATTGGCTAACAGTTGGTCTATAAAACTATAAGACGTGTTGGGATTGGTTGACGAGTTATGAGTTGATTGATTAGTGGCGCCCCCAGTGGTGAGTGTGCGGAGTGTGTTGTGAGCGCTTGTTTTGGACACCATTTATGTGATGTTAACCCATAAGTGAGTATTGAATGCATTGACTGAGCGGTGGAGTGAAGTAAACAGTGAATAGGTTTTCATGAAAAGCCTTTTCGTGCGCTGAGTCTCACTGAAAGCCATTGAAAACTGACATCTCATTGGAAACGATGTCTTAAACGGTGTGTCCACTCATTATCTCACAGTGTCCGAGTGTGCAGTGTCTGTCACTGTGTGTGCGGTGTGTCTGTGATCACCACAAGCCATGAAGACTACGAACAGGAGTGTCAGTGTCTGGGATCGGCCGCACAGACGGCTCGGCCTCCACCACAACCTACCAGTGCTGGCGGTGATGATGATGGCCGTCATCGGCGGTGTGAGTGCGGCGCCGAAGGAGACGAGTGCTAAGACTAACTACACGTACTTCGAGGAGCGGAATACCGATCTGTTCTTCTCGCACCATTAACTATAATTCCTTAATGAATGACATGTAGAGTAAATCAAATCAAATACACATAACAAGCTTAATGTATAAATTAAGTAGTAAGCTGCTACTTCTCTCTCTCTCTCTCTCTCTCTCTCTCTCCTTACATTTGTTATTAGAGTACATAAGATTCAACAGTGAATTTTGATTTAAGTAAATCTAATGTTATTTTTCTCTCTCCCTCTCAATTTGCAATGTTCACTAAAACAAGTGCACAAAGTTGTTATACATTGTGCCACAACTCCTACAGAAAACAACATTTTTGTGATAATATGCCAGAGAGAAAGAGCTGTACAGACCATATAGAACTCCGTTGGACTCTAGGTTTAAAAAAGTGAATCTATTAAAATCTATCAATATACATTCTCTAGAAATCATTTAAATCTTCTTAATTTGGACAATATAATATTACAATATTATAAAATTAATATAATTTAGCCAGTATAAGAGTTTAAGGTCTCTGAAAAAAATTTAATAAAGGGAATCTTTTTAATGTCAATGTATTGATATACTGATAGATTTGTATAGATTGACTTTTGTCAACCTTCATTCCATTGCCTTCTATATGGTCTGGCTGTACATTACCTAAAAATCTTGTATAATAAGATATAAGCACATACAGTATATACAAATACAGGTAAGCCATCGCCAATATTCAAGTACTGTAGTACCACTCCTGTGCTGTAAGTCATTATAGAGTAGTGTTTATCGTATTTTGATTCGCATTCACAACCATTTATATTGTCTTAAGTGATACTTTTAAAAGCAAATGTAAAATATGATGATAAAACAATAATTAAATCGTTTTAAAAACCAGTAAATGCATTGTAAGATCTTACATGGGATCTCAGGGCGTACTAGTATAACATGGGTTAGTCATATGGGCATAATTTTGTCGATTATTTGCCTTAATTTTTGGGCAATTGGGATGAAATGCCCGGAAGAGTCTAATACCCTATTGTTATATCACATAATATACAGACAAATATAAATCCCATATTAATCCCACGCACTTTCGACTAACTTTTATTTCTCTGATGTTATTGTTATTTAGTGTTCACTCAAATACATAAGCAATGAATTAATCGCCGAAACTATGGGTAACTATGAGACAGAATCACAATCGGAAGATCAAAGTCCCCACAAATGCCGTGAATTCATTGCAAAAGAATGGAGTTCTGACTCTTATATCTCACATCTCTATAGATATGAATTAGAAATCATTATTTAATGCAAACAACACATATATTCAGCACTAAATTTCCACTGATAACTGCAATTATATTAAATATTGTATTAAATATTATATACGTTGCAATAGACATAACCATCTTTTTTAGGGTGTAGTTCCTCTCAGCGCACATACATTTAAATTCTTTACTTACTTTTGCTCTTTTTTCATGATAAATTGTCTTCATTTGAAATAATAAAATATTTATCCATATATTCATCACTTGGTTTCAAGTATTAAAATATTGTTTTAACTTTGTTTCGTTAATAAACGTAAATAACAATAAAATTAATGTGAAAATTATTTTGTGGGCTAAACATACAAACTAATTATGTATTCATCAAACAATATAAGCGAACAATTCATTAAATTCTGCATTTTATGTAATTAATCATTAAAAGGGTCTAAATATTTATGTTTCAAAACTATTGTCTATATTTCATACTAATTAATACCATTCCCTTTGACTATGTATTGGACGGACACGACAGCGCTGTGGCTATTGATCGCCGACATCTCATGTCAGGGCAATATCGGTGGCACTTATGACTTGGGAGAGGGTCGATGGGGAGAGAGACGAGGTATTGTCCATAACCTTAACCATTATGCTATTTATTTCACATCCTTTGTCCACATTAAGTCAATTAGTTTCGTATTAAAGCCATTAATTAATTTTTAACCCATTTTTTCATAAACTCATTCATTCGTGTAATTAATTAAATGAAATCAAAATATCCATGTATTGTGTCAAATGTAATCTGTATTTAAATCTGATATTGTTTTGTAAGCTGGTTGTAACTGTTAACCACATTTGTCTTCAGGTGATTTGGGACCGGCAGGTATTGCGGGCATAACGATAGGTGCGGTGGCAGTGGCCGGGGCTCTGGCCGTCACCGTCTTCTTCTGCTATTACGTCCACCAGAAACAGAAAAGATCCGAAGCCCAGGCCTATGGATCGCACGGTATGCCATTTAAAGTGTTGTATTATTTATTAGATAACTTATGGACGCATTTCTTTGCTATTTATAACAAACTATAATTATTTTCTCACTCATTGTTCTCTACTTTAATTAATATTAATTACGATATAAATACTATAAGAGTGAGTGAGTGAGTGAGTGAGAGAGAGAGAGAGAGAGAGAGAGAGAGAGAGAGAGNGAGTGAGTGAGTGAGTGAGTGAGAGAGAGAGAGAGAGAGAGAGAGAGAGAGAGAGAGTTAACTTTTAGTGAACAAAACTCGCAAACTTATTAGAAATGCAAAGACAAAATCATTTACTTATTTGCAGAGTTATTAAATAACCAAAAAAACATAACAACAAAATTAAGTGTTAGCAAAAAATAGTTAATAAAATAGCGAATAAAATAGTATTTGGTTTTGCACTCAAAACAATAGTCGAGTGAAGTTCGTTGTCCTCTAATAAAATAAAAACTCAAATAATGAAAAATAAAATATTAAATACAAAATAAAAAAGACAAAATAGAAAAGTTTTTTATATTTGTTTTTCCATTAATATTAACAACAAAAATGCTATTCGCTTAAAATTAATTAACGATTTTTTCGCGTTCATTATATGAGAATTGATATAAACTTTTTGTGTTTTATTTTTTATGGCACAGGATATCGCAAACCCGCGTTTCAAAACTACTAATCACACATCAAATTGCATTATATTCTAGTATTTTATCGATTTATTTGGTGGTTGACTGACATCAGATACACACATATATTTCATACATGCATACATAGGCTATATATACCCATTATTTTATATTTTCAGACTATTAGACACTAATTGTATTGTATAACATATCAAAAAAGTTAAAATTAAAATATTTCATTAGACTTAATAAGCGATCTATTATATTGAAGTCACAGCAAAATAATGTAATAATAAAATGCGAGTGAAATGTAGTTCAATGTGTGTGTGTATGTTATTTGCATTCAATTTTCTTAACAATGAATTTAATAATGTATTTACACTTTTTATTATTCATATCTGAATACAATAATAATTATTATTGAATAAAAATATTCATAAAATATTATATAACTTATATTTTCTATATAAGCAGTTTCTCATGTGTTTATTATAATAAAAATCTTATTATTGCATTTGAATTATACGTTTGATATTTTTTATGGCACAGGATATCGCAAACCCGCGTTTCAAAACTACTAATCACACATCAAATTGCATTATATTCTAGTATTTTATCGATTTATTTGGTGGTTGACTGACATCAGATACACACATATATTATACATGCATACATAGGCTATATATACCCATTATTTTATATTTTCAGACTATTAGACACTAATTGTATTGTTATATAACATATCAAAAAAGTCAAAATTAAAATATTTCATTAGACTTAATAAGCGATCTATTATATTGAAGTCAAAGCAAAATAATGTAATAATAAAATGCGAGTAAAATGTAGTTCAATGTGTGTGTGTATGTTATTTGCATTCAATTTTCTTAACAATGAATTTAATAATGTATTTACACTTTTTATTATTCATATCTGAAAACAATAATAATTATTATTGAATAAAAATATTCATAAAATATTATATAACTTATATTTTCTATATAAGCAGTTTCTCATGTGTTTATTATAATAAAAATCTTATTATTGCATTTGAATTATACGTTTGAACAATAATAATTATTATTGAATAAAAATATTCATAAAATATTATATAACTTATATTTTCTATATAAGCAGTTTCTCATGTGTTTATTATAATAAAAATCTTATTATTGCATTTGAATTATACGTTTGTTTGCTTTTACTTTGCATTATGTATAAGGCTTTGCATTAAAATTATTTTTGCCTTTTGAATAAATAAGATTTGACCGGATTATTGATGGTAATCAGGGTTATAAGGAAAGGTGTCTTTTTATCTCCATTCAGCTATAATAAAGTCCAAGTTTGGTAATGGGAAGGCCTGGGCTAATGGGGCGACAAATATGTGTAATGCAATCAAATGTACATTTCGTATAACATTAGAAAACATTAAAGTATTACTCAATTGATTCTTACGATCATTATCTCCACTCACAAACATTTTTCATACAATTTTCATGATATTATGCACTCATATAAGGGGTTCTAATGTAACCAAAATGAACTCATATTTCACAATATTTTATTGGATAATATTTGTATAATATTTAAACATGTTGCTATTGTCTTAATTTCATGCATTTATAGAACTTCTAATTTATCTAGGTTAAAATCTATATGATACACAGGCTTTAAGCACAGTATTTGTTCAGTGTAAAATTGCATTGTGATGTACTAGTTAATCATTGTTCCGTTTTTTATTCAGAAAAAAATATATTACTAGTATAAAATTAGTAATAAATTATTTACTGTGTTTATGATTCAAGTAATTGCAATGAACAGGAAAAGTGTTAAAAAGTTTGGTGACATACAGTAATATCAATGCAAACACTATTGTAAGCTGTGATTGGCCTCACATTCACTGTGTGTTCACAAAGTTTTCTATCAAATCGTAAGCCTTTCGTTCGCATACTAACCATAAGTATATGATTTGGCAACAGATGTCACACACAGACTATCGCCGCTTAACAGTGTATTACTCATCCAAATACTGTATAATACAGTCCAACTTATTTAGCGTACACTCACTGTAGGCATACATGTGTTCATTATAAGCGAGGTTCATTATGAAATGCGAGTAATTAATCAAATATATGCTCATTTTACATATGTTTACGCGTGAAAAGTGAATGCATTTGACTAATCAATACATTATATGTCACATATGAGTGAGTAATGCAAACATGTGTTTGTGTTTAAAAACTTAAGTCAAACCGTGTGTAAGCCATAGACATACATGAGATTAGGAGTTATTGTGAAAAACGCTTTCATTCACAACAACAGCACTGAACTTATCAAACAAAGCATAAAACTTCATTCAAAAGTCGTACCATGCTCATATATTATAACAACAGTGCTTTAATGAGCCAATTGTGGGGGTAGTCACACATAGAAACAGATAATGAAATGCAAGAACCAAATAGTGTTCATTAAAACCGGACGCGACTGTAATCGATAGAAAACTATTCAAACTATTTCACAGATAGTGTGTATGCGTTAGACTGCATTTGGCTATTATTATAACAGTGCATACGATTGGCTATGAGTTGGTCTATAAAACTATAAGACGTGTTGCGATTGGTGGACGAGTAATGAGTTGATTGATTAGTGGCGCCCCCAGTGGTGAGTGTGTGGAGTGTGTTGTGAGCGCTTGTTTTGGACACCATTTATGTGATGTTAACCCATAAGTGAGTATTGAATGCATTGACTGAGCGCTGGAGTGAAGTAAACAGTGAATTGAATGATAGGTTTTCATGAAAAGCCTTTTCGTGCGCTGAGTCTCACTGAAAGCCATTGAAAACTGACGTCTCATTGGAAACGATGTCTTAAACGGTGTGTCCACTCATTATCTCGCAGTGTCCGAGTGTGCAGTGTCTGTCACTGTGTGTGCGGTGTGTCTGTGATCACCACAAGCCATGAAGACTACGAACAGGAGTGTCAGTGTGTGGGATCGGCCGCACAGACGGCTCGGCCTCCACCACAAGCTACCAGTGCTGGCGGTGATGATGATGGCCGTCATCGGCGGTGTGAGTGCGGCGCCGAAGGAGACGAGTGCTAAGACTAACTACACGTACTTCGAGGAGCGGAATACCGATCTGTTCTTCTCGCACC